CCCGAGCTAGACTGCAGGAGAGCGCTCATGATGCTGCCTCCGGTGCCCTCCCGCTTCGGGCTGCTGCTGCTGCTGCTCCTATGCCCTGCGCACGTCGGTGGACTGTGGTGGTGAGTGCCGAGTGGGACTGTCTGTCCCCCACGCAACTCCAAACGCCAGAGGGTGGGGACCCCGAGTCAGTCTTGGGACTCAGTGCGGCGATTCTGCTGCCTTCAGGCTCTTCCCGCTCCGGGATCCCACCCCTGGGCGGTTGCACCGGGACCCTCGCAGACAGTTCCTTTCTGGTCTCCGCCCAAGCACTTCTGAAGTGCCACTTTGAATATCCCTACCCCTAGATATTCCGTTGTGTTTCTTCCCCCGTATTCTCCCCCCGCCATCCCGCCAAAGAAATGTGTCCAATTCATATCACAAGGAATTGGCAGGTAGGTAGGGAAAAGCTGCTGGACGTCTTGAGATCCATAGTGAGAGATTAGATAAGAACGGGAGAAAGAACGAGGAGGGCTCTGGAGCTGGATTTGGGCAAAAGACTGGAACAAGGTGGGAAGTTGTAAGGTCAAACAGCTGCCTCTTTCCCGCCTCTCTCACCTATGGCCTCACCATTGCTGGCTCTTTCAGCATGGGCGGTGTAGAGGAAAAGGGAATGTAAATGGGGAAACTGAGTCAGGGCTCTGACTTTCTTCACTGCTTTCCCCCTAGCAAGTAAGAAAGACGGGAAGGAGATCCTGGAGGCCGGCCCTTCCAGACGTGGGAAGTAACGATTTTTTAAAATGTGTAGCGGAGATGTGGGAACCAGAGAGTGTCCTAGTGAAGCGAGTAAGAGCCAGGCCAGTCAAGGCATGGGAGAAATTCTCAGACTCTGGGATTGGATTTAGCCAGAGCAGACACCTAGACTTCGAAGGTTTCCAGAGCTATGAGCCTTGAGGGGTAGGATAGGGGAGGAGAAGCGGGGGCCCCGCCGGGACAGCTCAGATCCAAACCCTCACGACTTTTTTTCCACTTAGTTTTTAGAGCCACAAACACCCGCCCGGAATAGCTCAGTGTTCAGAGAGGAGGGATTTGGGCAAGAGTGCTGAAAGATTAGCCAACCCTAAGAAAGCAAGGGCTTTTACATTTGCATATCGCGGCGTGATTGGCTGAACTCCTACCCTCTCAGCCCTCTCCCACCCGCCTTCGCTTTGGACCTAGGGGTGGGGCAGGCCCATCCCTCTCTTGGGCTAAGATTGAGTAGTATGCCCACACAGGAAGCTGCTGGCCGCTATCCTTCCGCGATGCGGGAGAGACATCCCCGCCGGTGTCAGTGAGAGGGCAAATACAAGACCCAGGTTCGGGTTCAATCGGGTTCGGGAACATGCGTCTTTAGTTTAGCAGCAGTGTGGTACTTAGTTTTGACAGTAGGGTCTTAAACGAACCACTTTCCCACCCTACCCTACAAACTCTATTTTTAAAGAACAATCTCCCTACGTGGTGGGCTTGCCAGGAGGACTGGGTGGGAAGATCTACGGAATGACTTGACATTAGAAGCCCTCTTCCCAATCCAGCTTCTTATCACCTAGCTACTCCTATGAAGGGGGGGGTGATGAAAAACGGAATTCCTTTAAATTCAGAATAAAGTATCAAAAGTAATACTCTTACACACCTCTCCTAATTTTACTCTTTCTCAATATGTAGGACAGGGCTGTCCCTACCATCTCTTTCTTCCTTCCCCATTGGTCTAAATTGTTCTTTCTAAGAATCAAAATACCACTTCCTCCACGAAGCTGTCATTCTGTCCGATCAAGCCAGGGAGCCCCCTTCACCTCCCCAACACACATTGCTATCCTTGTGTTCCCACCATGCTCTGAGCATTGGGCAGCTATGCAGCTACAGCATTTTACTGACGATTGTCTTTTTTGGGGTCTTTTTGCTCTGTTCCTTTGTCTCCAGAGTTCTAGAAGTCCAGGATAGTGTAGGTGCTGGACACAGGTTTATGGCGTGTTGCTTCCTGGGTTTAAATCTGTGAAGATTCCTTTGTTCAGGAAGGACTGCTGGGAGGGAGCCAAGCCAAGGAGAGAGGGGCCTGGGCCCTCTGGAGACTGACCCTGAAGCTAGGAAGCAGGGAGTGGGGGAGGAGGGGCGGAGGGCAGGTGTGTGGGAGAACACAGGGGCCTTCATGACCACAGCTGCAGTGGGGAGCTAAGTGAAGAGTGAGGCCCAGGGTGATAAGGTGGCCAGCAAATGCTTCTCTCAGATGTGTCTCAGACAGGACCTGCTCCTCCCACCTGCCTTGGTCCCTTCTCTGTCTATTTTGGACACTTAATTCCTCTGGTCTGAGCCCAGGTTAATTTCCATGGTCTTTGACTCCTGCTCATGCTCCTGTGCTGTCATAGCCTCCCCAGGCCAAGCTTGGGCCTGTGGGTAGATCTTGCTGGGTTCTTAGCCTGAGATTCTTGCCACTGTACCCCTTACCTCCTCAGTCTCACTAGAGCTGGGTTCTTCAGGACTGGTGTCTAGGACAAGCTTTGCTAGCTCTTCCTTCTCAGATAGCCAAGCTAGAATCTCCATGGGTGGCCAGAAAAGCAGCTTGACCTACAGCAGCCATTTTCAAAATCTAGCCATGATCAGGATAGGGGCTGGGAAGATTCCAGGGTCTCTGAGTGACTTGACTGTCTAAGTCCCTAAAAGAGGGTCCTAGAGGAGAGCGGACACAGGCCTTGGATCAGTCAGCTCAGGGGCCAGGCCTTCTGGTTCTGAAGATGTTTTTTTTCTTTCACCTTTCTTCCCCCTCCACCTCCTCCCAGGGCAATTCGAGATTTCTATTTTTAATTTTTTTTGTTTAGTTTTGAGACAGGGTCTTGCTATGTAGCAGTGCATGCCTTCTGAGCGCTGCCGCCAGCCGCTGTGTGTCTCTCCAGTGTAACTGTATCTTTGTGAATCCTAGATTCCAGGACACTGGCCAGGCCCTCTTGAGGTCATCTTGTCCATCCCCTGCCTCCAGGCCATTCAACCTATGCTCTGCCCTCCCTCCAAGAACTCAGTCCTGAGAGTAAGGACAGGAAAGAGGCTCCTGGGTCACCTGGTCCCCCTCCTCCTCTGCTTCCTGCTCCCCTCTCTACACTGTCAGATCCATCTTTATTTATACCTTCAATTAATGGATGTAGAAAACAGCACACTCTCATACAGAGCCAAATCAATCTCCCTTCTTCTCTCTTCCTCTTTCCTCTCACTGTTCTGTATTTTCTGTGAGAGAAACTAATTCTCCCCTGTTCCACCAGGATGAAGCCACCCAGTCTACCCCCAGCCATCCCACTTTGTTTCCCTCCTTTATGGAAAAGGAACCTGGAGCTAAAGGTCAAGGACAGCCTCACTGCTGACCCCACAGGGAAGCAGGGAAAGGAACAGACCTCTTCTTGGCACTCAGGTTTTCTAGCTGCCCTCTGCCATACTTTTGTGTGTCCACGCTGGTCCTGGTCATTAGACCATCCTGTCTTTATCTGGAGCCCCTGACCCTTCCTGATCAATGCTGATGCTGGCTGGCTCTCATCAAGTTCCAGAGAAGGGATGGCTTGGGGGTGGGGTAGCCATCCAGTCTCTTTTCCAGGCCTCAGCCTTGGCAGCTTCCCTTCTGGGGAGACAATGAGGCTGTGAGCAGAAAAGGGCAGGGGCAAATGGAGGCTGGCTTGATCCCGGCCAGAGCATGCCCTGGGCCCACCAGAGTCCTGGCACTGTGACATTTCAGGGAGGGGGGCGGTAGGCTCCCTCCTGCCCCATTCGAATCCAAAGCCAGGAGTTGGTGGCTGGAGGTCAGTGGGAGGCCCCCTCACCAGGGCCCTACAAGGGGGATTCCAGAATGTGTACTTTGATGGGGAAGTGCAGCTGTGGAGAGAGTGGGGCAGGGCAGCAGCCAGCCCTCGCCAGCCAGCAGGAGGCCTCAGGGAACCAGATGCTAGCGCCCTGCAGTCTGATGAGAGCGCCCCCTAGCCTAGTATTTCATTCCTGGCCAGCTGGGAGTGTATGAAGGGAAATGTGGCCAGGAGGAGGCTTCTTTGGCTGGTTCAACCAGCCGGAGCCCTCTGGGTAATCTAGAATTTGATCTAGAAAGGACTGAAGAGGTAACCTAGTCTATTATGGTCAGTGGTGACGGTAGAAGGTCCAGGGACAGGAGGGGACTTGCCCAGTGCTAAGCCTGTATGTTGGTAGCTGAGAGTGGAACTGTGACTCCTATCTCTTTTTCAGTACCCTCTCCTTTGTGTGCAGTGGGGGGTGGGAATCGGGATAAGGGACAAAGCCTTCACAGGCCCCATTGCTCCCCCATCCCACCCTCAGATGGGTACTCCCATTCTACATGCAAGAGCAGAATGACAACTGTCCACCAGGCATCCAGAGGAGGGGACTGCCTCCGGAGCTTTGGCAAACAGGATGCCCTTTTACACAGTGAAGTCTGTCTGGGAAGGGAAAGCCCCTGCCTCTCCAAAAAAAAAAAAAAAAAAAAAAAATGGAGACAAAAGTGTGAGGAAGGACACAGGGAACCAAATTGTGTCTGTGTGGGGAAGGGTGAGTGGGGACCACAGGTGGGCAGTGGAGAGGCAGGGGTTAATGGAGCTGGGGCATCACTGGCTTTGATGTGGTGATTGGGATGGGGGTAGGGACTGGGGGAGGGGAGCAGTAATTACCGAGTTAGGAGTTAGACAGAGCAGGACAGGACAGGCGGGCGGGCACAGGCCCGGCAGCCTCAGCAGCCGTCAGGCAACATTTTTCTGCCCCCTTTCCACCTCCCCCACCTCCACACACCCCCACCCACAGCCCCAGGGCTCAGAGCTCCCTCTGCTGGCTCCTAGGAGGTGGGGTCAGATGAAGGATCTTGGGGGTAAGGAGTTGGGGGAGGGGTAGAGAGAATGGCATGCTTGCTGTGAGACTATCTTAGCAGGTTACACACTCACGTGGTCTGTGTGGTCCAGTTGGCCTTAGTTATCCAGCTGGGCAAGGAAGTGGGGCCTAGAGGGTGGTCCCTGGGTCGGCTGACTGGAGAAGGAGACCTAGATCCACACTGGACAGGAAAGAGAATGTTACAGAAAGAACATTCTCGGTACTCCATACATACCACCTACATCCATTCCTACCATTTCCCTTGCATTGAACAGGCCTGAGAATGCAAAGCACTTGTCCGGATCCACTCTCTGTACAGGACATTACATTGGGGGGAGGGATTATGATTTCCATTTTCCAATTGAGGAACTGGTGTTTAACTTTTATCATCTTCCAACAAATATTAAGTGTCCTTCCCATGCTGGAGACTCACCCCACATCCCACAAGCAAATGACAGAGCCTAGATCCAGCCCAAGCCTGGGTCCCCAAAGCCCTGAGTGTGTTCCACTGATGACACCATGCCCACCTGTGAGATTCCTATCTTTAATGAGACTTCTACCTAACTGAGGAGACAAGACAGGCAACCCTGCTGGCAGGACACACTCAAATGAATGACAACCAGAAGGATGCAGCTGGGGCCAGAGCTAGTGCTCCTGAGGGAGAGTGGGAGCTGAGGTAAGATTGGAGAAAGGTTGGTTAAGAGCATCTTGATGGCATACAATTGCAGAGGAAGTGGCCTTGAGTCCAGAAATGTGGCCTGGCTTGGATGGCGTCAGAGCCCTGACAACAGGGGCAAGCTGTATGGTACAACTGTAAGAGGCCACCTGAGGACTTCCTAGCTGCTTCCTTCCAGTCCTGCTTTGGGTGTTGTCATTTTATTTTAACAGTACTGGAGGTTGACCCCATGCTAGGCAAGGATTCTACAGCTGAACTTTTTTTTGGGGGGGGGGGTGAACTTTTTATTTTGAGATAGGGTCTTACCAAGTTTCCCAGACAGTCCTTGGGCTTGCAATCCTCCTACCTCAGCTTCCCGAGGAGCTGGCAGGCTGGCTTTTAATTCACAGAGACCTACCACCTGCCTCTGCTGCTCAAGTACTGGGATTAAAGGCATATGCCATCATGCCTGGCTCTGTTTTGATGTTAAATTTACCTAACTTGTTCTACAATGAGGAGTCCCTCCAGTAAGTGGCCAGTGACCAACAACTCTGCTCACCTTGCTCCCCTGTGTGACCCTGACGTGGCTGAGGTAAATGAGCTTCAACATTTTCTTCTAGTCTCTGAATCCAGGGGTAGAAGAGTAAGCTGAACCAGAATGTTGGGGTCTCTGGAGCACAGGTCTATAGATATTTCTAGTAGGAGCTGTCTGGCCTCTGATGCCATTTTAACGGGGCACTGATCCATCAATTGTAGTCCTGGAGAGAGAATTCTCAGTGCAGGCCAGGACAGTTAGAGTGGCCTGGTAGGCTTGTCCCTTCTTGTCTGTATACGGAGTTCTTTTAGGGCTAGCCATGTTCTCTGTGGCCAGAAGTGGCAATAAGATTATATCCCAGAGCCTACAGTAGTGTATCCATTCCTTACCACCATGCATTTCAGGACTTAAAATATGCAAATTGCTCTGAAAGTGTGCATCTTCTGTGGGATGACCCCGGGTCAACACTGATCCAGACTCCCCCAAAGCACAGCTCATTATATAAGGAAACAAAAGGGCAGGAAGCAAAGTAAATGAGAGGGAATGAGAGAGGAGGGCTGGGAGTTGTTCTAGATGTGGAATCAAATATTACCACCGAGACTGGAGCACTTCTTGCATCAACTCATCATTTTTTTTTTTTCTGAAGCCCATAGAGGAAATTGACCAGTCTGGAATGGCTCAGCCCACCCAGAACTGACAAAAACCAGGGTCAGAGGTAGGGCTTGGTAGTTTGTTCAATCCCCTCTGTCGTGTGTCTTTTCTGAACTTTCATTTCCTATGCCTTTAGGATGGGAGTGAGGACAGGAGGGCAGGGAACAAGCTGGTCCCTGGGGATTCTAGTGTTATCACTGCCCATCCCTCCTCCTGACCAGCTGGTAAACAAGACTAGTTCCCAGGAAGCCAGCCAACCCCACAACCCTGTAAAGAGCCAGCCCCACCTCCTGGGGGCCCTGCCCCTCATATCCCCATGATTCCGTCCCTATCTCTACCCCTGGGGAGCCAGACAAGGCCAAGAGGGTTTTGCAGTTCTCCCTTTTGCTGCTGCAAACTCTTTTCTGCTTTGCTAAGGCTGGAGGAGGGAGAGGGGAGGGATGGGGCAGGGTGACCTTGGGAAGATAAGCCCATTCAACCTTGGGAAAATAGGGAGTGTGCAGAGGACAGGGGTGGGGTGGGGCTGGGGAACTTAGCAGTGGGGGCCATGGAGATGGAGAAGGCCAGTTTTCAGAGCCTTACACCGTCAGGAGTTAGAGTGTGCAGGTGGTAGAGGAGAACTGAACAGCTGCGAGGAGGCCTGCTTTGGTCCTCTCATCTCGGGGAGAAAGAAATGTTGGAGGATATGACACTAGGAGTCATGAAATGATACACATCAATGGGACCTGGTCTCAAGAGGGGGTGCTTATGGCTTATTCATTCAGGAACATATATGTTAAGTTTCCCTTGCCATTATATACCTGTATCTATTCATCTATAATGTGGAATTCATGGCATGCAAATTTCAGGATAAACATTGCAGGGATATAAATAAGGTACCCAGAAAGCTTCCAGGGAAGATAGAGAAAAAGGAAGAAAGAAAAAAGACTGTCCCAACAATGAGGGAGCTCATAACCTACCCTGAACAAGCACGCTGGAAGCCACTCCATTCCAAATCCTTTTTTAATGAGGTGGGTGAGTGGACAGATTTATTAATGAAGATGCACACAGAAAGATAAGACTGAATTATTTCTGTAGTGCAATTTTCAGTCTGGTCTTTAGTAAAGAGGGGACACAGACACACAATGGACAAAGTACCAGTGGCATAAGACCAGTCTCAGTTGTGGGTAGGATAGATAGGTAGGTGGATGAGCAGACAGATGCTGATCAATTCTCTAGGGTCACTGGGCCATTGAGAGTCAGCTTGGACTGTCCTAACTCTGGCTCACTCCTCATTACTCCCATTGGTTCCTTCTCTGGGGCTGAGAGAGAGGGTTAGGGGTGGTGATGTCCAGCCCAAGCTCAGTACAAGGGAACCTTTCCGGCATGTTTCTGCCAAGAAGAGAGAAGAGATCCCTGAACTATTTGAGTAGGGATAACAGTATCCCTAATCCCCCTCCAGAAAGAGAGAGAGAGAGAGAGAGAGAGAGAGAGAGAGAGAGAGAGAGAGAGAGAGATCCTTAAAAGACAAGAGAGAGAGAGAGAGAGAGAGAAAGAGAGAGAGAGAGAGAGAGATCCTTAAAAGACATCCACATCTTTCTGCAAACATATCTCTGTGAGCACTCATCTTCAGTGTTGAGAGTTTTACCTTAAGACCTAAATTCCTCTTGCTGCTATTTAAGACCATTACATCTCAGGACATGCCTGGGCAGCCTGTACTTGTGTAGTAAATGGGGACAGTGGAGCGGATATGCACGGAAGCAAAGCCGAAAAGTAGGCCACCCTGACCTTTCACACTCTTTTGCCAACATTTCCCTCTATATTCCATACCCCACTGCCCCCGGTGTGCAAACTGCCCCCCCATCTTTCTTTCTCTGCAGAAGGATTTTGAATGGTCTCAAATTAACCTCCTTAGCTCTGCCCACATATGCCTTCAAGTCTGAGCTCTCAGCTATGTTCAAGTAGGAGCCATCTGATTCAAGCGGTTTCCCCCCAGGTGTGAATTCCTGGCTGACAACCTATGGAAAGCAAGTGGCAGCTCTCTCCTCAGGTGGAATGAAGGTGGGCAGGGTAAAGAGGCTGCTGACAATGTGCAGAACTTTCCATCAGGCCTTTACCCACCAAACCAAACATCATCCCCACCCCCACCCCCAGTTATATCACCCTAGCTCACAGGACTTGGCTTGGTGCCATCTCTCTCTGGGAAAGCCAGCTACCCTGGAGCAAGAGAAGGGTCAGCATCACCTATTCGTCAACAAATGCTGAGCAGCTAAGTTCCCAGCTCCTTCCTCCATCTGTTTAGCTTGAGGAAACCGGGTGTGGGGGGGACAGAATAGGAGGGTCCACTTCTGCCATCTAAGCTAAATTTTCTCATTTAACAGAAAAAGTTGAACTAAGGGGCTGTGGCTTTTTTCAGAGGCTCTGTTCATAGACACTTTAATACCTCATGGCTGCTTTGTCCTTCAGGTGGCCCCTGCTTTGTACTGGGACTGTCCAGGTTGTAGCTCACTAAGGCTAATCCTTCCTTGATACCATCTACTTTTCTGTCTTTCTTTTTTTCTGAGACAGGGTTTCTCCGTGTAACAGGTCTGGCTGTCCTGGAACTAGGTCTGTAGAGCAGGTTGGCCTCAAACTCACAGAGATCCACCTGCCTCTGCCTCTCAAGTGCTGGGATTAAAGGTGTGCACCCCACCCCTTGCCTGACTACTTTTCTATAGACTACTTTCTTTTTTTTTTTTAGTTTGTGTGTGTGTGTGTGTGTGTGTGTGTGTGTGTTGATCTTTTTTTTTTTTTTTCTGCTAATTTCTTCCTTCTTTCCTTTTTGGGGCTAGGCCCATTGAATTTTAACCTTGGCCTCCATAGTGACAGCTGCCCTCACCTTGAGGGAAGTTCCTTTAGTGAAGATGCACACAGAAGGATAAGACTGAACTTTTGTGATGCAATTGTCAGCCTAGACGTTAGTAGAGAAGGGGACACAGACATGGAATGGAAAGGGAACCAGAGGGACATACCAATCTCAGTTGGGGGTAGGACTCTGCAGCCCCTGGCTGTAGGCTGAGTGGGGCTAGTTCCCTCTTCTTCACCCCCACCCCATCCCAGGTCTTTTGTGTTTTGGGAGGTACACTCCTGACCTGCTGTTCTGCTCTCCAGGGCTGTGGGTAGCCCTCTGGTCATGGATCCTACCAGCATCTGCAGGAAGGCCAGGCGGCTGGCGGGACGGCAGGCTGAGCTGTGCCAGGCAGAGCCGGAAGTGGTGGCAGAGCTCGCCCGGGGCGCAAGGCTGGGGGTCCGAGAATGTCAGTTCCAGTTCCGTTTCCGACGCTGGAACTGCTCCAGTCACAGCAAGGCCTTTGGGCGCGTCTTGCAGCAGGGTTAGTGTGGGAGAGGCCTGAAGGGAGGCGCTTTCTCCTTGTGGGGGGCAGGGGAGCAGGTTTGGGGAGGCTGCTTGAACCCTATCTCCTGATTTAACCCTAGGCACTCTGCCCACCTTGGCCCAGGACAGGCTGGGGGAGGGGGAGTCCCTATTGCCATCTATGACACTGGGCACTCACTTGCCTGGGCTCTGTCCTCCCTCCGCAGATATTCGAGAGACAGCCTTCGTGTTTGCGATTACCGCAGCCGGCGCCAGCCACGCTGTCACGCAGGCCTGTTCCATGGGAGAGCTCCTGCAGTGTGGTTGCCAGGCACCCCGCGGGCGAGCACCGCCAAGGCCCTCTGGCCTCCTGGGCACTCCTGGACCTCCAGGGCCGACAGGTTCGACAGAGGCCAGCGCAGCCTGGGAGTGGGGAGGCTGTGGAGACGATGTGGACTTCGGGGATGAGAAGTCAAGACTCTTTATGGATGCACAGCACAAGCGAGGACGTGGAGACATCCGCGCACTGGTGCAACTGCACAACAATGAGGCAGGCAGGCTGGTGCGTATGGGCAGGAGCTGTAGGTGTCATGCAAAAGCATGGAAGTGTGGGTGTGCAAGAGAGTGTCAGTGGGTGTAGCCGAGTGTGGGTGGCAGCATATTTGTGGTAGCATGGGCACAAGTAAAGGTGTGAATGTGTAGGAGGGTGTCGATGTGTGAACAAGACTGGGGCAACCTGGGGACGATTGGGACTTGGGCCTGGACACAGATACACCTGGCAGATGAGATGTCCAGTCTAGAGGGCTGGGGGCGGGGGGAGGGGGGCGAGAGAAGGTGTGGAGCTGAGAGGAACAGTGAGTTCACTTGTAGAATAGTACTGAGGGCCGGTAGACAGCCAAGGTGGGGTGGGCATCCGTCTGATACCTGGCAAGTGAGGTGACTCAGCAGACCGAGACAGAGGGTAGGGATGACATTAAGGCTAGGATCCACGAAAAAATCTGGGGTCTGGTGGTAAAAGTAGCAGAGAAAGTGGGAGTTAGAACAGAGCCTAGAAGAACTGTCTTGGAAAGTACTGAAGGATCAGGAGTCCGGTGATGTCAGTAGAGGCCAGGACAGCCCAGACCCAACCCCAGACCAGCAAGCAAGGAAGAAGAGCACGATCCTGTTCTCCTTGGGGGACCCGCCTACGTTCTGTGTCCTTTAAGGCTCAGCCCAAGGCTGAGGGGGCCCAGGAGAGGAATGTCCGGACAGGCCCACATACCTGTTGCGAGGATTGGGGAGGGGTGACAGAGACAGACGCCCAGGCGGCTGTCTGTGTCTGCTCAGCTCTGCCTGGGGCCGCGAGGGGCAGGAATGAGGAGGCCGGGTTGGCAGGAGGGCTAGGCTGCGACAGCTGCCGCTTCTCCCCACTCCAGGGAGGATGGCGAATCTCACCACCGCGTCCATTCTATTCTCTCCCGCTCCCTGGCTTCGGACCCTGGAATCTGTGCTCTGTCTACTGTTCCCACTTCCCACTCTCGTACTACTTCATCTTTGCCATTCTTCTCCTCTCTGAGTGGTCATTTTCTTGATTTTCTCCTTCTAACCTTGTGCCTTCCTTCCTTCCTTCCTTCCTTCCTTCCTTCCTACCTACCTTCCTTCCTTCCTTCCTTCCTTCCTTCCTTCCTTCCTTCCTTGCTCCCCCATTCCCTCCCTCCGTTTCCTTTATTTTCTGTTGGTTCCCCCCCCCCCCCGCTTCCCTCTGCCCCCCCCCTCCCCCCCCCCTTCTGCCCCCGCCGG